GGGCTAATAAATGGACTCAAAGGAGAAGTTGACTTGCGCACCCCCCACGTGTGAGTTGAAGAGGCACTATATTCTTTTTACCAAATTTGTTTTGCAAAATAATTAAATTAATTTGTATTTTGGGCTTTTCAAGAAAAACACAAATTTATTGTGTTTAAAAGTTAAGTTATAGCCTAAGAGGAGTTTTATTCAGATTTTATCAAATTTTAATAATGTTTAATGAGTGTTTTATTGTCATAACTCCCCAACCACTTAATGTTATACAATATCAACATAAAGTAATTTTATGGGTGATTATTTCCATATAAAACTAGTGCTTAATTGCTGCTTTAAGGACCTCTATATGATTGTGCATATATATAGACCGAGAATGCAATGTAGGTGTGAGCTCAGCTCTTTAATTCTCAAGCTTCTCCTCTGTATTGTGTTGCTGAGTATATTTTGTTAGTCTTTGTTGTTCTCTGGCCTTGCTTATTTTGCAAGATGAGTCTGTTTAATCCTGAGGAGCTGCTGTGCAAACAACCTAGTGTGGCGAATAGCTCTTAAGGACAGTGTCATTGGTACGACTCAGACTTTAAATCCATCTACTAGTTCTAACACAAGGGTATTGTTTAGCTTCAACTACATGTATGCTAATCCATTGGTGAATACCTGATACCACTAGAACCCAAATCACGGGGCCATCCTCTGAGTCATAAGACCCATTAAAATCCTCTTCTTCAAAGCATCCAACCCATGGTAGTGCCATTGCTACACATGCACAGGTCCTACAAGTCATGCCAATTTTTGTTTGTGTTTTTGTTAAGTGGCATGCTAGAGGAGTTTGTCCTCAAACGATGTGTTAAACTTGACTTCTAAATCAAATAGTGAGTTCCTAGGCTCTTTTTTTCACAATTTTCCTAGATGCAAATCGTTAAAGATGAAGAAAATGAAGAAATAGAGATAGAGCAAAATGTAAGTATTGTAGAATAGGAGAAAACATGATACTATCATTGTTCTAAAATAAATTACAAAAATTGTAATGCAGAAAAAATAGAAAACACTGAAATGGCAATGCTACTTGCCTACCAAGTGTTGCTGCTATACTAAATGCAAAGGATTTACTACTTTCTAATGGATTCGTGCTGGTATGGAGGAACTGACATAATTTTGTAGAAGGAAATGCCTGAACATTGTGTTAGTGTTGGTTCAGGTGTTTAAGTGTTTGAAGAGCATTGTACATTATCTCTTGCTTTCCCTTTTATAGACAAAGTTGTAGGTTTTCTCATGGCACTATGTTCCACTTTCCTACGGCACTTGCTATTTTATTCAAAGTGTTGCATTGATTTTCACTTCCTTCTATTAACCTCATCTCTTTTAGAAACTTTAGGTGGGCTTAAGCCAGAAATTAAATTTTAGTCCAAAAAGGTTTAAAGGATTTTTGTCCTAAAAATTTGTATGAAAGAGCAAGTATCCTATTTTTTTTTTTTAGTTTTACATGGTATAAATTAATTGAATATATTTATTTATACATTATACAAAATATTAAAGAAAAAAACAAAACAAAACAAAAGAGTTGTAGTATTCATAAGAGTTTGGAATACAAGATGTGCCTATTAGATTGACAAGTATCCTACTTAATTTTAAAGGTCAAGCTTGAAATTATGGCCACCAAAGCAATAAAAATTGTCTTTCAAGCTCAATCTGTTTAACTCCTCTAAAAAAGGGTTAGCCATTTTAGTACAAGCTAACCTAATACCCTTTTTCAATTAGTTTAGACGATAGACCAGTGTGTAAATGATAATAAATCAGCAATAAAGATTCAAATATTATCATTGTGGATGATAATTATAATTTGAATGATGAATTTTTTTCGACCTTCACAATGATGAAGATTCTAACACTATCAATTTTGAATTATATGAATTATTTTCTGACTTTACGACCTTTGTGACGTATGCTATTGCTTTGGTATTGGAGTGTTATTTATTTGTGTCATTGTATTGCATATTCAATATCTTTATTTATATTTAATGTTGTAATTTCAAATTTCAAGTTTTTTTTTTCTAAAAGAATGATTGGCTTACAGACCAGCTCGTAAGCTGTACATTAAGAAAAGTCAATTGGAGCGCTTTCATGCTTAAACCTACATAAATGAAGCCTATCACATAGCTCCAATCCGTATAAAGTGAATTTCAACTTGTTATGTAAAGATATATTGAAGTACTTTTTTTTTTTTGCCACCTATATTGAAGTACATATTCCTTCCAGTCTACTTTATTACTCACCTTTTAAAAGAGTGAAATGTTTTACTTTATAAATCATTAAATTGATAGTGATATTTTATTTCAAATAAAATATCTGAAATATCCTTAAAAAGTAAGAGAAAGAGAGAAACAGAAAAATAATATTACATAGTTTACTTACTTTTTGAAGGTTATGTTTGTAATTTTAATAAATTTTATCCTTTATACTTTTATTATACTGATATTGATGAAGTTGATAGAAATGACTTATAAATAAAACCGGAGGAAGTATACATGATGACTCACTATACTGGATAGTGTTTGCAAACAGTTAAAGGGTTAATACAATGCTGAGAATAGGGTAGAATAGATTTTGTAGACTAACTCTTTAGTCTTGTTTATTTCTTTTTTCCTTCTATAATGAAAAGAATGGTTAATACAATTATTGATCTTTATAATTTTACCAAGTTCATCTTTTTAATTTTTTTATTATTTTTAGTCCCTATAATTTAAGCCGTCAATAGTGTTAGTCCATGTACTTTCATCAGGACTTGACAGTAGTTGATGTGGCAGAAAACTCCATTATTTCTCCTTCCATCTCATGCTAACATATCAAAATTACTATAAGGTGGATTAGAAATGAGAATAAGGCCCAAGCTAAACATGAGGAAGTGGCTTTATTTTTCCTTCCACCTCCCTCTAGTTATTGACAGCTTAAACTATAGGAATTGAAAACAATGGGAAAAAAAAAAAAAACAAATGGACCAAAAGCAAAACCTAATAAAATTTGGTAACATGTCAAAATTACTATGATGTGGATTAGAAATAAGAATAAAGCCCAAGCTAAATGTCAAGAAACAATATTATTTATCCTAGTTATTGATTGCTTCAACTATATGGATAGGAAAAAAAAAACCTAGAGGAACAAAAAATAAAACCTGATAAAATTATAAAAATTAATTATTTTATTAACTCATTTAAATTCAAGTATATGGAACTTTTGAATTGGCTGGCTTTGTGTGTGAGTGTGAAAGAGAGAAAGTTTTTGATTTTTTTTTTTTTAATGGCTCTTTCAAAGATAGCTTTATGGGCAAATAATTGAGGGGCACAAGGAAACATGACTCTCCAAACCCCCTTCCCACGCAGTCTCGTGCTTCTGTGCTACCCTGCACCGACAGTCAGCGGCAAGGAGGCATGAGAGGGCCCCACTTGACTAAACCCCTTTTCATTCTCTCTTTAATCTAAACGCTATTTCTTAATTTCTTTTTATTTATTTTATTTTTTGCGAGCTCTCTCTTCATGTTGATACCCCTTTCAGTTGCAACCATTTGTGCCGTAATCTGTGTTCGATTTCATTTCTTTTTTGAGACAAAGTTTCATTGCCTTTGACTTATGATAAGCATGCCGACATATTTTTTTTTCCTCTGTTTTTTATTTTTCCACTCTTTTCTGCCAAAAATGAGAAAAATGGAAAGCCCACAGCATCTTCAAAGAAGTTACAAAACCTCACAGGAAATGGAAAACATTTTGTTTGCTAGATGATATGTATACTGCATTGAGTATAATGAATAAGTCACATTATGATATTGTGAACACTGATACATTCTGTATATGAATGTCTTCTTAGAGACCTTGAATCATGATTACTTTAAATATAAACGGTCATTTTCAAAGTGTTTTCTTTCCGTTGTAAATTGAAGTTGTAGCCAATGGCTTCAAGAATATAGAATTCTCATTAAGGCATCGATGGGCAGAGCATTTGGAAACTGACTGACTGACTAGTATTAGGATTAAAAAAATAATTAAAACCTGTTTGTTTTTCTCTTCAAGTCTTCTCACAGCATTCACCTTGGATATCCAGCCAAAAATGAACTCCCTCTATCTTTACATATAAAATATTTTTAATTAACTTATACAAATTAATAAAAATTAATTATTAATTAAAAGCACAACAATATTTTAATTTTACCTTTAATTATTGTAAATAAAAAATAAATTTTCTTTTTCAAAATAAATTAATAAAAATACCTATCTTTTTTTATTTCTAATTTAATAAGGATATAATAATTTAGGGCCTTGGCCCCCTTTTTTTTAACTTTTTTTTCAATTTAAAATTTAAAAAATATATTTATAATCCTAAAAAAAATTATTATACATAAAATTAAGTTTAAAAAATAAATTTAAATTAATCTATACCATAATAAATAAATAAAAATTTAAACATTCAAATCTAATATCAAATAACATCAAAATTAACACTAATAAAAATTAGACTTCGCTAATATTATTAACTAAATCTTAATGAATAAATAAAGAAAGGACGAATGAATCTCATGGTCATTTCTTTTAATTATATATTTAATCTTTTATTTTTTTTTATATTATAATCTTTAAAAAAATAAAAGATCTTAAAAGAGCTGACCCTAATCCCAAAGGACTAACTTTTTTATTTTCAGGCTTAAAAAGACTAACCCTTTAAAGCTTAGATTACCATTTTTTCTTCCAAAGTAAAAGCTTGGCCCTAATTATCTTCGAGCTTGAAAGGGCCGGGCTCGACTCTAATTGACAGCTCTATATATAAAACACTAAATTTGTTTGAGATTTCCACAGGCATTAAGTTTGTTTTTTGAATCTTCATTTCAATGAACTAATACTTCAAATGATGTCAGTATCGGGCTTAAGATTGAAGTAAAGTATGCAAGGTTCAGTCCATGCCCATTTTTTTTCTTTATCAGAAGTCCATGCCCTCTCCTTTACTGGTTAACAAAATCAATATTCAATACAAAATATAAAATCCATTAAGTAGCATTAATTTACAAACCATAAACAGCATGATTCATTCCGTAAACCCAGTACAATACATGGAAAACATGTTTTCTTTTCAAAGGAGAAAAAAACGAAGAAACGAGGCCAAAGAAGATTCATTCTTGAGTCGCTGTTAAGAAACACGTACATCTTTCGAACAATGTGGCTGAATGGAGTCAAACTGGTATTTGTATGCTCTCTTGACATCATACTGCAGCATGATAAACACTCTCACTTGTCAATCAAGATCCTATCAGGGGAAGCATTTCATCCTCTGCAATGAGACACAAGTCAACTTGAGCAGAACAAAGATCATAACACTATCAGGTGCGGTTCCATTTATTTACCTGTCTTTCGATTTCAACAACTGAAGCAGCTAGCCTGCGTTTCAAAATCGATCTGTCTCCTTCGCAATCTTCACTCTCGGTGTCTACCAGTAAATAAAAGAGCATGTTTTTGAAAGGATGCGAAGAAATTTGAGATAAGCATAGACATATAGACAAATCAATATGATCAGACCAAGTAATAACATACTGATACTAAAATTGTACTTCATGCCCATCTAAAATCTGCATTGTCTGCTTATATATTGTCATCACAATGGAAATTACTTTCAACCTTGATAAAATTGTAGTATTCATGCCCGTCTAATTGAATGTCACATTAAATCACATTAAATATTTCAGATATAATCAATTCCAACCTTGCCAATGGAAATTGCATAAACCTTTCTATTGTCAACCCTGCATAAAAATTCAGCAATCCAACAGTTTTACATTTATTTGCGCACAATGGTTGGCCTTTTCTTTGAGGTCGTGACTTTTAATAATTTGGGATGATAGGCACCTCCTTTCTAAGGAAGTCCTACTACGATGAGAATGCACTTTCAGCCAAGTGTATCCTCAACTTAGGCTCCAGGTAGCAGTCACAAGGGAGTAGGGAACTACAAGGGTTATGTTGGTTGGGATAAGCATCACTGATATATTTAAATTGAAATATTATGGAACTTTTATATTTTTTGTGAAACCCTATATTGCCTGATTCGTGAACTGTTATGAATGGTGCGAAGTTTATATATGTATACAAATATATTTGCCAACTACCTTTAAATGTTTCGTTGGTGTAGGTTAGAATATCAAATTGTTATTGAAACATTTACTCTCACATGTTTTATAGTTGAATCCTTTATTAGTTAGTTCCTTTTCTACCACAGTAAAGCATGTTGTAGTTTTTTTTTTTTTCTTTTATACTACCACGATAGTGTTTGCCAAGTTTGGTATCGTGGGATGAGGGGGTTCCAGGTGACATTCGAAGTCCACTATATCTTGGTCATAAGAGTTACTACGTCAAATCCACATCATTAGTGAACCACGTTCATATATAATGAATAAATAATAGTTAAGTTCCACCACATGATATCCTACAGTCTAGCTTAACTATCATATAAGCATACTGTCTCATCAGTAAGTATGGTGTACATGAGCCGATATAGGGAGATACAACAGAAAACTAAATTTTGTCGATCTAGAAGCACAAGCTACATGATGTCACAGAGTATGAGTATCTGCCAACGCAAATGGTCTCTGGTTGAAAGCCAATGAGCAAAACTTGTTAGGCATGATGTTTAAATTGATACGTTTTGGACCAAAAATAGACATGTTTCATTTGACATCAAAGGCAGTTGAAGGAGGGGGAAAAAAAACGGAGCTGGGGGTTGGGGGGGGGGAGCTTTAAAAGTTGGGTTAATACCAAAAAGAAGAAAGTAAGTTTAATGGGTTCTTACCATAGTAATAAGATGATAGAATAGTAATACGCTCTGTTGGCTGGGAAAGGAGAAAAAAATAATCTTAGTACTGAAGCATAAGTATATAGACAATTCTTCAGCATTTATAAAGCTAGGTCCAACAAGACGAAGTAAGAAAACAAATATACCAAATTATTGGCTTGCTAAAATGAGGGAGAATATACCTAAGGTTCACCTAGCTTATCATGGGCGCACAGGGTGGCAGGGCCCAAAATATATATATATATATATATAAAGGTTCACCTATCAGCAGATAACATAGATGATGATGAATACATGAACACTGAGTAAAAAATATATATATCATATTTTTTCACTTTAAGGGAAGAGGATAAGAATTTTGTATTTCATAAATGTAAATTCTGTTTTATACTCCCTTCGTCCTAGATGAAAGAATGAGATAACTAATCCACATAAAACAACAACAACAAGAAGGATAAAGCCTTATCTCACTAAGTAACTAATTCAGATAAATTAAAGAAATTAGTTTAGTTATTTATTGAAAAAAGTGTGTTGGTTTCCTATTGCAAACTATCCTTATTGACTGTACACATCAATTTGTCCAATCAATTGGGGTAGTTTAAGGAAAAAAATGTAAGAGACAAAAGACATTAGTGCCTTACATTTAGAACCAAGATAAACTTCTCAATTAACTCCTATATTTAGGACTGGAAGAAATATATAAATTATTAAATCAAAAGATCCACATATGTGCGTGAACATTCGTCCAACATTTGGGAGATCTAATAAAATATAACCACAAAGATGAACTTTCCATAAACATAACTTTATGCGCAAGATCAGTGATTGAACATCAAATGCAGGAAAACACAATGCTCATAGAATGATAAGATTTTCAAGGATACCATAACAAATATCCCTTCTTTACGAGTAGGTAGTTCCTCAAGCTTTCTCAATGTATCATCGCCTCTAGTGACTCTTCCAAATACTGCATACTGAAAATGGCATACATCAGATTATCAATTAGAATCATTATTGTCACATTTGGGTTAATGTTTTGCAACAATTTTTGGCAAGTGTAGCTCATCCACCTGGCCGTCAAGATGAGGAGCATCTCCCAGAAGCATTGAAAATGAAGATCCACCACTGTCTGGATCACTGTATCTGTAAGAGAATAAACAAAGCATCAAATATTCCCGCAGTCACTCAAACAAATATAAGAATGGTTCAAAATGTCAGAGCCAGGGTAACATGATAACGAAAACTAAGTTAAACAGCCAATGTCTGCCAAAGAGGAAGACTCCAAAAATACACACTTTCCTAACTGCTGGCTAATACATTCCAACATCATGGCTATGCCAGTCTTGCAAAGAGAAATTTCACATATCCTCAATAAACTAGTATCAGTTCTACTCCTAACATCTCAAATAAGTGATTTCTATTTTTTTTACTCTAAATCAATCAAAAGAGGAAGAATTCCAAAGATGTCCAAATATGATTATGATAAATCCAGCAGGATTATCTTTCATTATCATCTTTCCACATCCAACTAATGATACACTAATGCCTTGTATGGTTGAAGAATTTTGGGAGGGGAGGGGAGCTTGTTTGGATCAAACAAATTGGCAGGCAAGGGAGGGAAGATTCTTCTTCCCTCCAAATTAGGGGCTTTTGGAGGGGCAAGCTGCATTTTGTTTGTAAAGACCAATATATCCCTATCACTTTTTGAAAACCCAATTATGCCCTTTTCATTTGCAACCACACTCGATCAATCACTTACTTATGGTTGATACATGGAAATTAGGAATAATGGAGGTAATTAGGGGAATTAGGAATATAAAGGTAGTTTGGGTATTTAGATATATTTTCTATAAATAGGTCTCCAGGATGTAATGGGTCATTATGAATGGAATTAATCTTTATCTTTCTCTCTATTCTCCTTCTGCCTCTCCTCTCTCTCCCTCTTTCTTTTCTACCTCTAACAAAGGTATCAGAGCCTCCTCTCTGGCCATGGAGGAGCCGCTGGAGATTCGATCCTCCGATCATAGAGGTGAACTAGAGCACTACCTTGATTTTAAACAATCTATGTCTCACATTTCACAACAGATGAATGAAATCTCGGCTAAGCTCACTCTACTTGTTGACCAGCGCTTGTACCCTCCTTCAACAATGACGACATCTATGTCGATTACCACTATTCCTTCTCTGCCTTTAGTCACCAGAAAAATGATCCTCACAACAATCACAAAGTTAGGACAGTGGAAGCACGTTTCATCTGTGAATAAGCACAACAATTCCGAGAAATCTTACTGTATGCACACCTTCCAGAGTCCACCACCAAAGTCTTCATCAACAGACTTCAGCCTAAACTCAAGACATTTGTCCAAGGCTTCAATACAAATAGTTTAGCTAGTGCCATATATATGGCGGATTTTCACAAGAAGTATAGCCTGAAAGGGAAGCAAGACGCGGAGAATGATGGTTCAACAAATGTAACTAACCTGGATAATGACTTTGACGAAGATGAAAAAGAACATAGAAGTATAGAGAAGGAGTTCACAATTCAAGAAGTTATTGATCAAAAATTAAAACCACCAAAGCTAACAAAGCCTACATGCATAGAAGATGTGACGATATTGGAAAACTCAATGTTTGAGGAATGTGATTTTGTCAAGAAAGATGTGCAAACAACAACACTCATTAGCTCCCTAAATCAAGAACCAGGATAGCGTCTAGTATTAACGAGCTCATCTACACTTATCAACTCAAGGCATTTGGAGCAGCCAATGACTCCAACCTACTTAATAAGAGATTTTTGCACTATACTTCCATCATCAATTTTTGGGCCCTCTCTTAGTATTTCAATTGGTTCTTCACCACCTGCTGTCATGTGCCTTCTGCAAGGTGAGCCATCATCATCATCATATTATTTTCGAAACAGAGCACAAAGACTCCCCAACAATTCCAATGGCAGCATTGAAGTCTTCCTTTTGCATCAGAAACTCGATGCCTACAGTCAAGTTCTCGCACAATTCAGCATCCCTGTCACTGGTCAATTTGTTGAAGGCCATGCCGGCGCCTTCACGACAAACACAAAGATGAGGGTGGTGATGAACTCGGCCATAACGACCCTCAGGGTATCTGGGTGAGCGGCCTTCAGGCGTATGGCTTCAATCATGAAGATGACAAGTCGGGTGGAGATTTGCAAGTGATCATGGACTTAGAGTTTTTGTTGGAATTTACTCAATATCCTCAAGCTAAGTGTGCTTCTCATGGAAGTGAGCTGGACACAATCCAAAATTTGAGCTTCTTGAATGATCTGCTGGGTCCATGTGTGATTCTAAAAATACCCCAACAGTCAAATTTTTCCATGATTGCAGATTTGCCCCTAGCGTCCTCCCAATATTCTCCACACAGCAACAAGAAAGCCCATTCTCACATGTTTTGGGCTTCTCCTGCATCCCTAGCCCCAAAAGTCTCTTGAAAAGGGAATAATCCAAAATGGGTTTAATTACAATAATGCTAGACATTATGTTGATGAAGTTTGGGCTTCTCAAAAGGCTTTTGGGTGGAATTGGATCTTGAAGATGGAGCTAAGGAACGTTCACAAGCTTTGACAATGTGCCTTTCACCAGTTTAGGTGGGTTGCCATGATAGGCTTTTGGATTGAATGAATAAGGCAGCATATTTGGGTTTTTGATATCCATAAATTATGTTCTTAACTTATTTTATTTTAGAAGTTTTTTGCAACTTAAGGTCAACCCAAAAAAAGAAAAAAAGCTAAGTCTCATTTTAGATATATATTTTCTTGCTTTTGTACTGATCCTTGTGGACAAGGATCTCTTGTTGGGGGAAGTATTGATACATGAAAATTAGGAATACTAGGGGTAATTAGGGGAATTAGGAATATAAGGGTAGTTTGAGTATTTAGATATATTTTCTATAAATAGGTCTCTAGGTTGTAATGGGTCATTGTGAATGGAATTAATCTTTATCTTTCTCCTTCTGCCTCTCCTCTCTCTCCCTCCTTCTCTTCTACCTCTAACAATGGTTGAGAGATTTTAGGAGTTGTTCAGCAAAATAAGGAACCATATCACCTGTTGAAGTGGTTCAACACCTAGTTTGTTATTTTCTAGCTATTTAAGTTTGTTTCAGATATTTTAGGGATAATTTAGATTTTATTTAGTTATTTCTAAAGTATTTCAGCTCTATAAATATGTAAGCAACTAAGAAGCTAGTCATGTTCAAAAATAAAATTTCATTTTATCCCTTTAAAAATTCTCCTAAGTGTTGGCTATTAAGAGATTATAAAGTGAGATACTTGCTTTATTTTTTCTTAGTACTATTATTATGCCTTTATCTTTTTATCAGTTTGAGCGCTTCCCAATTTGGCATCAAAGCCGCATTCTAAATGGCTGCCATCCATTCTTCCAACATCCCAAACCAGTCTTCCAACAACCCTCCTACTCCTGAGACCTCAAAAAATACTCTTGCATATTCATCAAACCCCTTAGCCACAATGGCCTCTTAATTCAAACCCTTGAAATTTTAGCAAACAATGCGGTTGCACTTGAAGCTACTTCCGCCAATAAGATCCAAGGGAAAGACAAAGGAAAATACCGTTCTCCTTAGGATGACAATGGCAAGGATGATCCAAAAATTCATGGAGCTATAGCATAGCAAACTTCCTCACACCAAAATTGAGTTTCCTAAATTCAATGGAGGTAGGGCTAATAACATAAGAGTGGTGAGTTGAGTTAGTCAAAATGGGGCTCAGTTTGATTGCGAGCTTATTTTAGCCTACAGTATCTAACTCAAGCCTAGTGGTCAAACAAAGAATTTTCTTATAAAGATTGGACTACATTAGGGGATCCTCTCTGAGTCCTTATTTGTTCAACTTGATCTTAAATGTTTTGACGGAACATATTCAAGGGAAAATTCCGAAATGCATGCTCTTCGCGGATGATATAGTTCTTATAGCAGATACAAGAGAAGAGGTTAATTGCAAACTTGAGTTATGGAGGAGACATTGGAGTCGAAAGGTTTTCGTCTGAGTAGAAGTAAGAGGAAATATTTATATTGTAAATTTGGTAAAGGACTATTCGACAATAATTTGAAAGTGAAATTGGGAGATCAAATTATACCTCAAGTGGAAAAGTTTAGATATTTGGGAGCCATTATTCAAAATGATGGCGAAATCAGTGGAGATATTTCACATAGAATTCAAGCTGGGTGGTTTAATTGGAGAAAAGCTAAAGGAGTTATTTGCGATCGTAAGGTGCCTAATAAACTTAAAGGAAAGTTTTATCGCACTGCTATCAGACCGGCAATGTTATATAGTAGTGAATGCTGGGCTCTAACGGGACAGCAAGAGCATAAAGTTGGAGTAGCAGAGATGAGAATGTTACGATGGATGTGCGGACATACACGTAAAGATAAAATTCGAAATGAGCACGTACGCGAAAAAGTGAGGGTGGCACCTATTGAGGAAAAAATGGTAGAAAATCGGTTGAGATGGTTTGGGCATGTACAAAGAAGACCAAGGGAGGCACCGGTGAGAAGAGTGAAACATAACTTTGAGTCCGATTAAGAGAGGTAGAGGAAGGCCTAAGAGAACACTTTTGGAAGTTATTAAACGCGATCTGTTAATTAATAATATTCCTAAAAGCTTGATAAATGATAGAGCACAATGGCGTCTTGCAATCTATGTAGCCAACCCCACCTAGTGGGATAAAGGCTTGTTGTTGTTGTTGTTGTTGTATCTAACTCAAGCCCGTAGCCACTTGTGGGTTAGCTCGCTTATATTTTTTTTTTCATTTAAAAAAAGTTAAATTCCATACTCTCCCAATCTGAGTCATAAGTCTTTGTCTCTCAGGCAAATCATTTGGCAACCTCCTGGGGATATTCTCGCACCACGCCAGTTTGTATGATGCTGCGAAGGCATTCATCTAGGTTCTAGTTAGAGCCATAGTTCTCTTACAACACCTTCACCAACTCATCCCATTAAAGGATGGTTTGTTTGCGATAGACACAAGCAAACAAGTCGAGCACATCACCTTCTAAATACATGGATGCAACATCAACTTTTGAGCTCTTCAGGTCTGTCATAATGTTTGAAGTATTTTTCTACTTTCAAAATCCATCCTTGAGGATCACCTCAATTG